GCTCAGAGATGGAAACAGCTCAGAGATGGAAACAGCTCAGAGATGGAAACAGCTCAGAGATGGAAACAGCTCAGAGATGGAAACAGCTCAGAGATGGAGGAGGAAACAGCTTAGGGAGGACTCAGTCGCGGAGATATGAAGTTTGAAGGGTTTATTTTAACAAAAACACACTCAAAAGGAGTGGATGGTAGACAAAGTTCAAAGCAAGGCTGTGAAAAAAACTATGAACAAAGTATCAAAGCAATAAAGTTAACAAGACTGTGGCATGGCTGTGGCAAAAATAAGACTATGGCAAAGTGCAAATAAAGATTAACAAAACTGTGGCAAAGTATCAAAACAAGACTGTGGCAAAATATCAAAGCAAGATTAAAATGGCTGTGAAAAAACATGGCTATGACAAAAACAGTAAACTAGACTATGGCAAATTATCAAAGCAAGATTAACATGACTGAAAAAACATGGCTATAACAAAAACAGTAAACTAGACTATGGCATGGCTGTGACAAAATCTAACCTTACGTGGCGATTATGATCTGAAACGCTTGTTTGAACAGTTGTCTCTGTTCTCCTTACTCTGTAGATAATTCAGAAGCCATATGTTCCGTTTTTGATCAAATATTCGAGTCAACACCCGAAGTAAATTTCCAACATGACGTCGAAGTCATAGAAAAAAAGGATACATTCATAGAAATAAAACAAAAATAACTAGTCTAAGTTGGTTTAAAGTTCCTGTATAAAGTTTCTTTATCATTTATTTCTTCTCCCATCTCTCTTCTAGAAGTCATTTGTTTTATTGCTATGTGTAATTATCTGCAGTATTTATTAAGGAGTTATCGTAGGTTTTTGGAACCAATTCTAGGAATTACAGAGTATTCTGATGGAAGATTTGAACCAACACACCAATATTTAACACAGAAATCGCTCCTGGAACCAGTTAGACTCTTTAGAGGTTCTGCTGTATTTAATTTTTTGTGAACATTTTATTTGACATTTTGTTTTCTTGGAAACATGCGAAGAAACCATTTCATCCACACTCCTAAACATAAAGAAATCTCAGAGTCTGGACGTTAAAACCGTCACAGATGATCCAGAAAAATAAGGAAAAAAAGTCTGTATTTCTGCAAAAATGATCACAGAGCTTGAATAAACCAGCTTATCATCTCAGAAAGTTCCTGAACTTTCATTCTGGGACGTTATCTTGCTTTTACGAGCTGTAATCGTTTTCCTATCTGAGATAAGATTTACTGTCCTGTCATTGTGATCAGTCACTGTTGCATCATGGGAAAATGTGGATAGAAAACATTAAAGGGGGAGTTAGCGTAAACAAACAGGAAGCAAACCAAAAAACCCACAAATATCCAAAATCATGAGATCAAACTTGACCAAATCTCCCAATTTTAGATGGAAAGTGATGCTCTGTTCATCCCTGAGGGGAAATCCAGAAAATGTTTTTTGATTTCTTTGTGTATAAGGAGCATAATTTAACCTAAATAAAGCTTTATAGCTTTAAAGTCTCACATTCCCCATGATGATCTGGAGAGGAACTGGTTTGAACCTCTTTCCTCCTCAGCTTCTGCAGATTTCTCCTCTTTTCAACTCATTTTGATTTCCAATTTGTTTCTGTAAGCCTCTCCTTTAGGCCTTTCCCATCGCCATGGTTACGGGTGATAAAAGATCAAACTACTTCCCTAATGTGGACTTTTTTGGCTCTCGTTTCGGCTCTTTTTTTCAGGTTAGCATCCCATTGGATGGGAAAACAAGCTGCTCCATCAGATATAAAGAGATATAGATCCTGGTATAAATAGATACAAAATCCTGGTATAAATAAATAAAAAATTAATAAATAAATTAAATAAATGAATAAAATAAAATATATATTTTACGTTATCTTGCTTTTATGGGACGTTATCTTGCTTTTATGAGCTGTAATCGTTTTCCTATCTGAGATAAGATTTAACACTTTTTTCATAGTCTTGTTTACTTATTTGATACTTTGTTCATAGTCTTGTTTACTTTATCTGGTACTTTGTTCATAATCTTGTTTACTTATTTGGTACTTTGTTCATAGTTTTGTTTACTTTATTTGGTACTTTGTTCATAGTCTTGTTTACTTATTTAGTACTTTGTTCATAGTCTTGTTTACTTATTTAGTACTCTGTTCATAGTCTTGTTTACTTATTTAGTACTTTGTTCATAATCTTGTTTACTTTATTTGATACTTTGTTCATAGTCTTGTTTACTTATTTGATAATTTGTTCATAGTCTTGTTTACTTATTTAGTACTTTGTTCATAGTCTTGTTTACTTATTTAGTACTTTGTTCATAGTCTTGTTTACTTTATTTGATACTTTGTTTATAGTCTTGTTTACTTTATTTGATACTTTGTTCATATTCTTGTTTACTTTATTTGGTACTTTGTTCATTGTCTTGTTTACTTTATTTGGTACTTTGTGGTTAATCTTTGTGGTTAATCTTGTTTTGGTGCTTTATTTCCACTCCTTTTGAGTGCGTTTTTTGTTCAATAAAACCCTTTTCAACCAACACTCTGGCACAAAGTGGCTCTCAGGGAGGACTCAGTTGCGAGGAATATTTAAACACATCAGGGAAGGGAAACCCAGGGGAACACAATAGGGGATCAGGAAGACAATCAGACATGACACACAGGGGAGACCTGAAATAAACTGTCCTGAAATTGACTAAGGGGGTGAAAGGTTCACCCCCTTAGTCAATTTCTCCCTGGAGATCAATAAAGTATATTCAATTCAATATTCAATTCAATCAATATTCAAAATAAAACAGGAAATGACAAGACAACCATGGAGATAGGACAAAAAATTCCCCCAGACGTGACATTTTTTCTTTCCTCCTGTGTTATTATTCTGAGTACTGAGGCTGAATCAGAGCCTCTTTAGGCTGTTTCTGAGGCAGAGGAACAGCAGAAAACAGCAGAAAACAGCAGAAAACAACAGAAAACAGCAGAAACAGCAGAAAACAGCAGAGAAACAGCAGAAACAGCAGAAAACAGCAGAAACAGCAGAAACAGCAGAAACAACAGAACACAGCAGAAAACAGCAGAAACAGCAGAAAACAGCATAAAACAGCAGAAACAGCATAAAGCAGCATAAAACAGCAGAAACAACAGAAAACAGCAGAAACAACAGAAATAGCAGAATAACAGCAGAAACAGCAGAAGAACAGTAGAAAACAGCAGAAAACAGCAGCTGTCTGTTTCTGAAACAGCAGAAACAACAGAAATAGCAAAAAACAGCAGAAGAACAGCAGAAATCAGCAGAGAACCAGCATAAAGCAGCACCTGTCTGTGCTCTACAGGTGAACCTGCCCCGGGCGCTGCTCATCGCCGTCTCCCTGGTAACCGGCCTCTACCTGATGGTCAACGTCAGCTACCTGAGCGCCATGACGCCCCGAGAGATGCTGTCCTCCGGGGCCGTGGCCGTCACCTGGGGGTGAGGACCCGTGGAGAACCGGCTAAAAAGGGTTCTGCTCTGAAAAGCCTTTTGTCAGGATGGTGGGATTTGAGGGAGGACTCAGATGACGGAAAAACAGGGTTTATTGTAACAAAAGGTGGAAGTCCAGACAAGGTACAAAAACACGGCTGTGGAAAAACTATGACTATGACAAAGTAACAAAATAAAGATTAACAAGGCTGAGGCAAAACATGGCTATGGCAAAACTATGACTATGACAAAGTAACTAAATAAAGATTAACAAGACTGTGGCAAAACTATGACTATGGCAAAGTAACAAAATAAAGATTAACATGACTGTGGCAAAACATGGCTATGGCATAGTAACAAAATAAAGATTAGCATGACTGTGGCAAAACATGGCTATGGCAAAGTAACAAAATAAAGATTAACAAGACAGTGGCAAAACATGGCTATGACAAAGTAACAAAATAAAGATTAACATGACTGTGGCAAAACATGGCTATGGCAAAGTAACAAAATAAAGATTAACATGACTGAGGCAAAACATGGCTATGGCAAAAATCAAACCTGACGTGGTGAGACGAAAGACGAGGGACGAGAGACACAAAAGACGCAACAAGAAGGACGAAAACAGACGAAAACGCACTGGCACAGGACATGGGAAACGAGGACTATTTAAACACATGAGGGAGGGGAACCCCAGGGGAACACAATAGGTAATCAACACATGACAACACACCAGACATTCCCCCA